ATTTTATTTTATTTTATTTTATTTTATTTTATTTTATTTTATTTTATTTTATTTTATTTTATTTTACTTTATTTTATTTTATTTTATTTTATTTTATTTGAATTTTATTTAAATTAATATTGAGTTATTTAATTTTTTTAATCGAGATCAAATTAAAAGTATTTGAATAAAAAAAAAATATGAATAGCGATTGTTTTTGTCGCTAACCATTTGGCGCGTTAATTTTTTTTCTCTCAGCAAAACATTGTTTAAATTTTCGGCACAGGATAACAAAATTTTTTTTATTAGTGAACTTTGGAAATGTAACTTGTTTCATTTTCTACATACTTAAATGCATAAATCATATATGTGTAAAGTATATATACATTTTTTTTAATACTAAAAATGTGGTTTGAACCTTATACCTTCCAATGTGATTGAATATAATTATTTAAGAACATGTTGTCCTAATTCTTAAAGGATAATTGTAAAAGAAAATTATTTATTATTATTTATTTTTCCATATTCTTCTCTTATGATCGAAGTATATACCTTTATATACTGCGTATCTCAACTATGCGACCTCCACATATTGACAAGTTGTCGAGCATACTTCAAATGAAAGAAAATGCGAAGCACAGCAAAAAATATCAAAAATGAAGGGTTTTTAGAAACTGTATAACTGTATACCAAATATTTTTTAGGAATATCTAATTAAGAAGCTTGGGATTAAAAAACAAAATGTTGATTTCTTTTAATTTTTGTACAAAGTTGATTTTTATGTATTTGTCAACGTTATTGTGGCTTATTAACATTTTAATTTTTAAAATTTTTATTGAGCTTTGTACCAGGATTATTTTATTAGGAAAAATGGAAAAAGCCACAAAGTCTAAGCGGTAGAAGTTATAGCAGCTATTTCGGATTTCTTCAGCAGGGATCGAACCTGCGTCATCGATGTGCAAAGTCAGAAGCGTTAACCACTGAGCTATGCACACCCCGTAAACTCGAGTTGCTAGTTCATTTTCCTTATTCAACCTACTGCTTTCAAGTTCAGCTGAAATAGCTGCTATAACTGCTACCGCTTAGACTTTGTTACTTTTTCCATTTTTCCTAATAAAATAATCGTGATACAAAGCTCAATAAAAATATTAAAAATTCGATTTTTATGGTTTTTATTATAGAATTAACTATATTCAAAAAAGAAATTAATGTTATAATAAAAAAATAAATAGTCAAAACTTGTATACATATGGGTGTCGTATAATCATGAAACGTATAATTACGTGTAGGAAAGGAATGCCAAAAAATATAGTAACTCTACATTTACTTTACGTTGTTTATGCACAAAAAAAAAACAGAGCGTATGCCATCCAAATACATGGCAAACACAGCTTTTCTTAAAAAAAAAAGAGAACTAAAAACGTTTGCTCACCTTAGTTTCCGGTGCATATTTATAGCGTGCACAACTGATTCCATAACCATTGGCAATAGAACCTCCTGGACAGAAAATACCATCGCCATAGCCATCATTTGGAAAGCCTACAATGCGTCGCATCTCAGCCAACACCGTCTCTTCCATGAGCGTGAAGACGGGTGCCACCTCATAGGTATAGACGCTGGGATTCAAAGCATCTGTCACCCATTGACCAACCAACGCATATATATCCACGCCTGAGTAGAGTTGATTTATGAAGTAGGGGTGACCCGTTTTAACCGAGTAGTGAATTGTAGCCTTTACCAATTCAATTAGTTTCGCATTCGTTTCCGGTTCCGCTTTCAAGCTAAAATCGAATAATTGCTTCAACTCGCTAGGTGCATGCCATTCCACCACTTTACTGGCACGATTTGTTCCTGCAAACACAGCTGATTTTATAATTTCATCAACACAAGTGCGTATGAAGTTTTCGAATTTCGGCTCCGGGTGACCAAGAACAAAATGTGGTGATGAGAGTGCGTTCATTTTGCTGTTGCTATCACTACTGTTCGATGCCTCGATGCCGTTTACTGCGTTTGTTGAACCGTTGATGGATATTGTTGTAGTACCGTTGTTGAGATTTGTCTTCATTGCTGACGCTTTACATTCCACACCAGCACCAGAACCAGCAAATGTACCAGCACAACTACCGTTGATAGCAGTAATAGTAGTACTAGGACTGTTTGACGCCGTTGATGCTGCTAGACTCTGGTTGGTTTCCGTTTTGGCTGCAGTCATCATGGCAGCGCCTGCCAGATCTTTGTCAACGCTCTTCAAATGCTTTTTAAATATAGACTCATTGTAATGTGTGGGTAAACTTTCGCTGGCCAACATTATTGCGCTTTTATTTGTTTATTTTTTGTTTTTATTTTTTATTGTATTGTTTTGTTTTTCAATTTTTGCTTTTGCTGTTAATTTCGTACCCTTCAACTAGCAAACAGTCTGCAGGTATGTATGAAGTCAAATGCTTGTATTATATAAAGTAGGTACTAGTAAATAGACGTACATATGCACATACATATACATACGTAATTCTCAGTATCCCACTGTGTTCACTTGTACCTATTTGATGCTTTTCACGACGGTGCCTAATTTAGTTGATTTAAAAAGATTTCGTAGTTATCCACTTGTTGCATGAAAATCACAGCCACACATACACAAACAAATGTAGCCGCACTAAATATATGATTTTTAACTTTTTATCACTGGGGTCTATACCGTTAATTAACTTATTTTTTTGGTTTTTTAAATACTGCGCGCCAAAATTGCAAAAATCACAAAAAATTGCCTTATAAAAAAATTGCACTAAAGTGTTTCAGAACCAAAGGAAGGCGCTAACGATCTTAACAACAATTCACGTCTTACCAATCTGAGTGTCCGTCAAAAAGTGCTGCTGCTTTTATAAATGATGCTCGTTCGTGTACGTGCAAGATCTGCCCGTGTTAGCTGCACTTTGTATGTTTGTATGTACTATGTATGAATGTACATACACACGCGTGGTCAGTGGGCACAAGATCGCTTCATTCATTCGTTTCCATTCTACCGTTTTGTACTCGAGTCGGTGGCACGGGTGGTCAAACGATCGATGTAAGATCGTTGTAATTATTGTGGTGTGGTCGCACAGTACATATGTACATATGCACACCTGCGAGACGGCGGCGGGTCGCATGCCACCTGGTGCGGCTGATGGTTTACATATATACTTATATATATATATATATATATATATATACATATACATATATATACATATGTATTTTTGGATGTATTATATATTCAATAAACCATCCATGCCCTGCAGGGAAACCCCGAACTAGTAAACGACATTTCTGCTTCCGTACTAGATCTTTATCGCCAAAAACGAATCAGTCCGATAGTAACTATTTAGATCCCCACCAGTGAAATGTTGCTGCTGAGTTCACTTTTTAATTTCCTACCGTTTCTATCCAGTGATACGCAAATTATGAACTTAGAAAAAGTTATAAGTTCCAAAGGATACACAAATTTTGATTCGAAACTATCGATAAAGGGATGCATCAGGGGGGTTTCTTTATTTTACAGAGATATTTTTTGGTTGGTTTTTTTTTTTGTTTTGTTGAAATACGGTTTCATTCTGCACTTCGCTTTTTCATAGTTTGGAAACGCAAAATAAAAATTTGTATTAACATTTTAACATCTTAGGACCTTCTGGAATCTAACCTACACATTCATTCACATTCTTTCAAGCGTTTATACATATCTCTGTCTTTATAGCGCACCCGATGAAACCGTATTCAAGAATAAACAAAATCTGATGGTTTCATTCGGCATTTTTTCAATAATAAATTTGCTCGATTAACCGAAATGGAAGCGAACAATAATTCAAATTTGTTATAATTTTAATTTTAATTAAAAACGGGATGTGTAAATAAAACTATCCGATTTTGACTTCGCGTTAGATGAATGATGCGTTTATATGTGTTTTTTAACCGATGTGAGAACTAACAAGTAAGGACAGTGCTGTCTTCGGCTGTGCCAAAGGCGTCATACCTTTCGTGATTACCGCCAAAAAAATTTCACCTTTTCATTGTCCTTTTCTCTTTCCGTTTTCAATTCTAAAATAAAGGCAAACGGCAAGAAAATTGTGTGTTCGTTTCTTAAAATGCCACACTTTTCTAAGGCAAAAAAGGCACATTCTCTGCCTTTTGAAGCTTTGTGTGGGGAGATGGTTGCCCTGAAAATCAGATATTTGCAAAAGTACAATATTTTGAAATGCACGAACTAGACAAGTACAAGAAGGCAAAAGCATGCCCTTCTAGAGGGTTGAGTGTGACTTCAAACACATTTTGCACCGTGGAAGGGCAACATTTTTTGGAAGAAACGAAATCACCATTAGTTGTTTGGGAGCTTAACAAATTTTTTATCTTCACTACCTACATAGGTAGAGGAGTTATATAAAAAATGCATAGCTGAACAAATCAGTACACAGTGGTTGCATTTATATGGGGAGAGTGGCCAAAAATACTTTTAATGGACATATCGGGATAAAATATTTACCCTAGGGTCTGGTATGAGTAAAAACTGTAGTATGTAAATTGGGCGGGGTTGGACACGCCCACATACAGTCATGTGCAAAATAATAGGGACACGACATTGAGACCAGTTTCGGCCATTTTTTTGTTTTTTTAATGTTTATTTTATTTTTATAAAAATACAACTCACTATCTAACAAAAACCATATATGTCCAAATTTCAAACCTTGTAAAAAAATAGGAAAATTCAATAAAATTTAAAACAACACCTAACTTTTTAATAAGAACTTTTAGAAAAAAATTTAGGTGTGCAGTTTTATAGCACATTAAATTCTAGCTTAAGAAATTGCAAGTTTGAAGTGGCTAAAAATTCGCGTTGAATGTTGACAATTTTGTTTTTGCGGATGGTGTTATTATTTGCTTCCATACAAAAAAAATTGTCAAACATACTTTGAATGGGAGAAAATGCGTGACACCGCCAGGAAAAAAATTATCAAAAATTAACGCGATTTCTTAGCCACATAGAACTTGCACTTTCTTGAGCTAGAATTCAGTGGGCTATAAAACTGCATACCTAGCTTTTTTTAAGTTCTTATTTAAAAAGTTCCGTGTTGTTTTAAAATTTTGTTGAATTTTTCTATTTTTTTACAAAGTTTGAAATTTGGACTTATATGGTTTTTGTTAGATAGTGAGTTGTATTTTTATAAAAAAAATAAACATTAAACAGACAAAAGAAAAATAGCCGAAACTGGTCATAATGTCGTGTTCCAATTATTTTTCACATGACTTTATGTGGGCGTTTCCAACCCCGCCCGTTTTACATATTACAGTTTTTACTCTTAACAGACCTTAGGGCACAAATTTTATCCCGATATGTTCACCGATGCTTAGTCCTTTTTGAAGACTCAAGAAAATCTAATTTCGGACGCCCACGATTTGAATTGGTGGAAAGTGTTGGTTGAAATTATTTCTTTCTTTTCGAGCCAATTGCAATGATTTTTTAAAACTACTGATTTTTGGCGTTTGGATCTTTGTCAATACAATGCAAATTTTTTACATTTTATTTAATACATTTTTGCAGCTCATACCGATCTGGCTCAAAACCCACATATTCAATATCTTTCGCTATTGCACCCAGCACATTTTGAACTTTCTGGGAATGCGAACCGAAATTTTCACGCCAAATCTCAAAAACATGCAATCGAGAAAATTCGCCCATGGGAAAACCAAAAACAAAATATCATGTTATTCTTTACACCTGTTGATTTTAGAACTGGTTCGAAACTAGAGAAAAAGGGATGAAGAGCGAACTAGATTCCATCTATTGAATTTATTACTGGTTCGGAGCTATCGAAAAAGGGATGGAGCGGATAACAATCGCCACTTCGTAGGACATCGCAATGTTAAAATCGCCAGTAGCATGAAAAAGAGAATGAACGCATACTAATCATGGTTTTAAATTCTCTATTATCGAACCAGTTCGGCACTAGTGCGTTTTCTCGGAGGCTACATATGTATGTATGTATATAAAAATATGTATGCATGCTAATTTTATGCATCACAAATTCTGTAGATATTTAAATAATGATAAATGGATTTTCCCGACTAATTCTATTGAAATGTTTAACATTATATGGACCACTTTTTGGGTACATACATACTTATTTAGACACATACATGCATATATACATATCTACTTGAAATACAAACGATTCTTGTAATTTGTTTTAACATAACAATTACGCTTTTCAATGAATCAAGTCTAAATACTACACCTACACAATTACATATTTAAAATTGCAGAGGAAGTTACGATACAGGCTAAAAAGAAATGGAAATGATAATTATGACGTCATTGTCCTTCTTGTGATACGGCATCTTTGTTTTGGTTACATTTCTGCAAGGCGATTGGAATTCCCTTACGGGGAAACCCCAAACTAATGGAACAAATACCAAAAATAAACATAAATATGTATGTTTACATACATAATTATGTATGTATATAGATCAGCACTTATAGTGATGATAAAAGAGTTGGTATTAATTAATTATAACAGACTTTTATATTAGTGTATGCTTACGATTACGTATTATCATCAAAATTTGAAAGAGACCATAGGATTGCCATTGGTTTAATAAATCTTCAGTCCGACAAGTGCCGCATCCAAGTAGGTCCCTTACTTATTCGTAACGTGGCTGAGTTGGTAGAGGTACGTCCGGTCGTCCTCGTTCAGCCTCGGACGTATTGAGCTAAAGGTCGAAGCCCATCGTCAATGAACTTATCAGTGTTGCTTTAGAACTGGTAAGTCCACCATAGACCAAATGTTCACCATACGCCAAAACTTGGAAAGTACCCGCGAGAATAGCATCCACATACGCCATCTGGTATTTGTCGATTTCAAAGCTGCCGTCGACAGCACGAAAGAAGTCGCCTTTATACCGCGATGTCGAATTTGCTATTTGCTCGCGAAACTAGTATGGTTGCAATAGCACCAGCTCCGTCGAAATATGGAAAGAACATCTCCGTGACGTTTGATACCAAAAGGGGTTTCAGTCGACATCATTAGTAACAATAATCGCAACGTCTTCCGAAATTACATAGAGAAACAAAGCGCATGGGTCTTGTGGGGAATGAGGTCAAAACCAAGTACAGTATATTCCGTTTAGCTGCATTTACTTCCACTGCAAATGATTTGGTGCACTTAAGCGAAATGTGCAGCAAAGCGGAAAAACAAAAGCTGTGATTCGTTTTGTTTGCAATTTTAAAATTTGTTTCAGGACTGTTTTTCTTGAATTTGTTTTTAAGTATTTATTTTAGGTCTCTTTAATACTATTCGCTACAGGGGCATTATTATTTTGTTCTGGATCTTCATCGCCACTACTATTTTGGCAAAATTGTGCACGTTATCGGAAAATGCACCTAAGCGAATAGGCAGCTAAACGGAATATACTTTACATATATTCTTCTAGCAGACAAACAGTAAGCGCAAGCGCGTCTCGAGCCTCACGCACTGCTAACAGTTATAATTTTGAAAAAGTAGACGGCTTTGTATATTTAGGAACCAGCACTCTATAATATTGTCAGCCTTATAATCCAACGGAGATACACTCTTGCCAATAAGGGCTACTGTCGTACGAAGAGGAAGGCCC